TCCTGGCCTCATCTAGGCGTTGGGCAGACTTTTTGCAAGAATGACGTACTCCTGACTGGCTCAGCCTGGTTCTGAGGAGATGGTCTATCTCTCCCCCTCCGCAAGTCACCTGTGGCTTCCATGGGTTATTGAGTAGTTCAGAGGTTTTTGGGCTAAAGTGGTCCAAGACAATCTTCCTGGGTCAGACCTTGTGCTTTCTACCTAGACCCCCTCCCCACCCCAAACCCAACAGCAAGGAGCAAAGACCTGCCCTGAGTGGACCATGGTGCTGGAGGGGCTGGCATTGGGTCATCGTGGCTCTGCACAGACTTAGAGTTGCTGATGAATGGAAAACCACAGGAGGAAGGAGCCGGGAGCAGAAGCACACTGATTCCTCACTGGGCATGTGGACTTAACCTGCTGGCCTGATACCCCACCCCACTCAGAGAAGCAGGGTGCTGAATCCCCTCACTGGCTGATGTAAGGGACTCTTTCTTTCCCTCTATGCAGGGAGGCTGGGCCTGCCAGAGCAGAGCAGCAAGGTTGGGAGCAGCCCTGTCTCCCCAAGGTCCTCGGTCGACAAATGCAGACTGCAGAGAGAGCTCTCTTTCAAATTTGCAGTGAAGTGGTTTCCATTTCAGGGTGGTGTCAAAATTGGCAGGAAAGACCTACCTAGTGCTCGTGGGCTTTAGATAGTCTCCCCAGTATGGGGCCTGGCATTTCATGGGTGCTCAGTAAACAATTGCTGGATAAATGCATAAATTAATGAGGAGGCCTAAGTGAGGCCTTTTATGAGACCCCATCGCTTTTCTCTACACAAACAGTCATCAAGCCCCATAAGGGAAAGAGTCATAGGTCACGAGATTTGGGTGGGAGGGACCTTGGAAACCACTGTGCAGACTCTTTCTCCCATTTTAGAGAGAGTCAGAGGACCAGGGACTGATGCCACATTCCCCACTCCTGAGTGGACACATACCCAGTGCAGTGAGAATATCTGTGAGGAGGATATGCCAGCTTGCCTGTCCAGCATCAATTTTGATCAGGGCCTTTCCCATAGCAAGGAGGCCCTGAGTGTTCTTGTCCCTGAGGGGGGCCTCAGTGTCTGGTGGTGGCTGGCTCAGAATGGTCCGGCAGCGAGAGTAGAGGCCTTGGGTGATGAAGGTCTGGGCTTCTGGCTTCAAAGAGCAGATCTCAGGGACTACAGTCCCTGGGTCAAGCTTCAGAGCAGAGACAATATCGTCTAAGGCTTCCTGTGAGGAAGAAAGACAGGGTAGAAGTTGTCCCAGTTGAGATGGTAGGCAGAGCAGAGCTGGAGGGCTGGCTCTACTCTTGCCCCTTCACCATTCTCAGGTCTCCAGCTCTTTTCTTGGGGTTCAAGAAAGTCTGCCTTGAATGGGCTCCTACCCCTCCCCACTACCCCATGGCTGCAGCTATTGTATCCCCCTACTCATTGTTTCTGGTAGGGCACCTGAGGGTGCTCAGCTAACTGGCCTCTATCTTTCTAAGGCCGGACCCTCACCAGGCCCACTTGCCATTCCGCCATGTCAGTCTCCCGACCTTGCCTACACTCTGCAATACCTTCTTCCCTGAGGAGCTTCATCTCTGCTTGCAGCTGGCTCCATCCAATGTCTGTTCTTTCCAGGGAGGACATTGGGTAACCTCACAGGGGGCAATTCAGGAGCTCAGTGGGTATTTGGCTATTCGTCAAGTGATCCAGTGTGTGGGATGCTGGGGACTCCTGCTTCCCCACTCTCAGGGGGCAGCTGAAGTGAGGATGTCTGGACCATATAAAGCAGAACAAGGGAGGGTCTGCTGGCATAGGTACTAAAGTCCTGGAAAAGGAGAACTCAATGTGGAAGCGAAGAAAGCTCACTCTGATGGAGAACCTGCTAAGGTACAAAGGTGGACTTGGGCTGGCACCCAAAGGACATTAAGCACATGTCTAGGAGAGCCAAGGACTGAGTATGCCATCCTGAGGCCCTGACCATGCCCATGGAAGCACAGGATAATCCTGATAATGGATCAGTTAAGGTAACCCATGTGCATCTGACCTCTGACCTGGCTAACAGTAGGGGTCATTGGAGCCACCTTCAAGTCTATCTTCCTACTATTCCTCCACTGGCCTTTCCTTTCTTTTTTTCTTTTTCCTAAGGATTATTTCATTTTATTCATTGTCATTATTTTATTTTTTGAAGTTGATGAGAGAGAGAGAGAGAGAGAGAGAGAGAGAGAAGGAAAGTGAGAAAGCAAGCTGCCAGGTTTGGGACTTGAACCTAGGTTAGTCACATGGGAGTCCAGCCGCCTTAGCTACTATGCCACCTGGATAATTTTATTATTATTTTTTAATTAGCTGTAGGGAACATATGCTCACCAGAGTGGGGAGGGGGAAGTGAGGGAGAGAAGGAGAAAGAGAGAGAGAGAGAGTGAGTGAGTGAGAAAGCAAGCTGGTAGGTCCAGGACTTGAACTGTGGTTGACCACGTGGGAGTCCAGTGCCTTATAACACCTCTTTGTATTTTTCTTTAGCAGTTGCTCCACAGATTACAATATGTATTCTTAATTTACCACAGTCTAGATTTCATACAGTACCATGTTATGTAAAATGAAAGGACTATCACTAGCAAATTTTACTCTCTTTTGAGCTATTTTGTCACAAACTAAATGATAAAACTCCTAGTACAATATTATTTTTATTTGTTCAGAGCAGTTAAGAGAAGGAATAAATTCAATCTTTCAATGTGCTCCTTGTGTAGTCAATACTTCAGTTTCATCAGCTTCCTGTAGCATTTTGTGTGGTATAGGTCGGCTGGAGATGAATCTCTTGGCTTTTCATTGAAGGTTATTTTAAGAAGATTACGAATTCTGGGTTGATAATATTTTTCTTTTAGTGATTTGAAGATACAAATTTACTGTCTTCTGGCTTCTCTTGTTTCTGAGAAGAGTCTGTTATCATTCATATTGTTCTTCTATGTGATGTTTCTTTTTCCCTCTGGCTGCTTTTAAGATGTTCTATTTATCTTTTGTTTTTAGTAATTTGACCAAGATGTGGCAACGTGTGTTCTCTTTGTGTTTGTCATCTTGGGATTTGTTCACCTTCTTGGGAAATTTTCTGTCATTATTTCTTCAAATATATGTATATATTTGCCTCATTCTTTCTCTTCCTTTCTGGGACTCTAATTACATGTATATTAGCTTGCTTGAAATTGTCGTACAGATCACTAAAGCACTCCTCATTAAAAAAAAAAAAAAAATCATTTGCCAGAAGTACACGTACTTGCTGGGAACCAGCAGTTAGCATAATGGCTATGTCGCTGGATTCCCACGTGGTTGACCGCGGTTCGCGTCCCAGACCCAGTGGCTTAAAAACTCATGCTGGGTGTGTGTGCGTGCGTGCCCAAGATCCCGAGAGGAGAATGGAAGAGAAGGGATTGCGGTGTGACCATCCCCTCTGGGGGATGATTTCTTGCTTTCTGTCTCTATGTCTCTCTCTGTCTGCCTGGCGAGTGCACGCGCCCTGTAGCGAAAACCTCTCCAAAAAAAAATAAATAAATAAAAAAATAAAGAAGTACACATACTTGCTAGAGAGCAACAGAGTGACATAGATAGGCAGGAAAAAAGTACTACCAATGGGGCATGGGCATCTCACAATCCCTTCTCCATTTCTCCATCCTGTCAAGATTTGGGGCAAACATACAGATGTGCCCAGTGTATTTATCAAGTTTCTTGAGCCAGGATTCAAGCCACATAGTTGGTCATCATGTGGGATCTGGCTCCCTTAATCACTAGACCACAAAGCCAGACCTTCATTTATTTTTTTAAAAAGTTTTTCCTCTGCTATTCTTTAGACTGAATAACTTCTATTCATGTGTCCTCAAATTTACCAATCCTTCCTCGACAGTTCTAATCTGCCATTAAGCCCACACCCTAAATTTTAAATGACAGATATTGTACTTTTCAGCTCTCGGAGTTCCACTTGATTCTTATAGTTTTTTCCCCCTATTCCTCTCCTAGATTCCCAGTCTGTTCCCTCATTATGGCAAAACTTTCCTTTGTGTATTTATAGTCAATACTATTAAAGGGTCTGTGTGTAATTTTCAAACATTTGAACTGTCTCAGGGTCTGTTTCTATTGAGTACTTATTTTCTTGATTACTGGCCACACTTTCCTGGTTTTCTACATGTCTAGCAATTTTTTACTTTACGCTGGACTCTGTAATTTACAACCCTCTAAGTTGTAAGGAGTCCGGATTATATTGCTATCCTGTTATGCTAGACAGTTAAGTTACAGAGGAATCTGAATCATTTTTGTCCTGCCAGACTTGTTTTTTCCTTTGTTTTGATAGATCCATTTCGTTTTTTTTTTTTTTTTTTTGGAGAGATTTTCACTGTAGGACGCGTGCGCTCGCCAGACAGACAGAGAGAGACATAGAGACAGAAAGCGAGAAATCCCCCCCCAGGGGGGATGGTCACGCCACAATCCCTTCTCCTCCATTCTCTCGGGCTCTTGGGCACGCACGCACACGCGCCCGGCGTGAGTTTTAAGCCACCGGGTCCGGGACACGAATCGCGGTCGACTACGTGGGAGTCCAGCGACATAACCATTACGCTAACTGCTGGTTCCCCCCCCTTTTTTTTTTTTTTTTTTGGAGAGATTTTCACTGTAGGACGCGTGCGCTCGCCAGACAGACAGAGAGAGACATAGAGACAGAAAGCGAGAAATCCCCCCCCAGGGGGGATGGTCACGCCACAATCCCTTCTCCTCCATTCTCTCGGGCTCTTGGGCACGCACGCACACGCGCCCGGCGTGAGTTTTAAGCCACCGGGTCCGGGACACGAATCGCGGTCGACTACGTGGGAGTTCAGCGACAGCCATTACACTAACTGCTGGTCCCTCCATTTCAGTTTTGAACACAGTCTAAAGAAGGCCTTTTATGGTGTGGCCTTTGTAAGACCTCAGCCAAGTGCCCAAGGTGTCTATCTACCTCGGCTGGGACAGAACTACTATATCTCCCAGCCCTGCCTGGCCCTGGCATCACCATTCAGCTCTTGGCACCACCACAGGTGATCCCTGCTTTGCATGTGTGCAGCCTATGGACAAGGAATCTTATGAAGACTACAAGATGCCCCTCCTCTGCATAGCCCCTTCTTCTCCACTGCCTTTCTGTACAAATTCCAGCCACTGAAACAACATGGAACTCTAATCTCTGCTTCCACAGCAAACCCGTGGCCCCATCTCTCTGTGCAGTGGCATGCAGGGTTGTCATGTAGCTTCCTGTATCTCTGGGAACACAGCTTTCTCTGCCTGTTGTTCAGTGTCTGGAAACAGTTGCTGATGTATTTTATTGTGTTGTTTTTAGCAGCCCAGTACCACTTACTCAGAACTAGAAGTTAACCCACAGCCTTTCAAAGTCCAGACTTTTTTTTTTTTTTTTTTTTGCTATAGGGCATACACACTCATTGGAAAGAGACAGAGACAGAGAGACAAGGAAAGCGAGAAATCACCCCCCAGGAGGGATTAGCCATGCCACAATCCCCTTCTCCTCCATTCTTCTCTCAGGATTTTGGGCATATACCACATGCACCTGGCATATTTTTCAGGCTACTAGGTCCGATATGCGAACCTCAGAGTTGGCCGTGTGGGATCCAGCACCTTCATTACCACACCCCCTGCAGGCCCAGGACTCTTTAGAAGCCAATATGTAGGGAATGTAGAGGATGGTCTTGGCCAGTGGGCTCTGGAAAGACAGAGTTCTGGGATAGGGGAACACAGGACAATCCATTCTGCAGCGTGGCCTGGGCTCTGTGTGCCTGTAATACTGACCTGTGGTAACCCTGAATAGCTAGTTGCCCAATTCTGCATGGCTTGTGAGAATTCCAGCTGCCACATACAAAGCCTTCATTATAGACCAGGTTCCAGGATGAGCGTGTGACAGCCCGGAACAACACCCCTACCCTGTTGAGCATCTAACACCTTGAATGAGCACCACCTCCATTTTTTCTGATGCTGTAACCAGGGCTTAGAGATGATACAAGACTTGCTGGTCAAGCTGGAGAGGTGGAGAGTGAGATGATGAACATGAGGAGACAGCCACTTTCAACTACTTGCCAGCAACATCGCTCTTCACCGAGAAGTCCCTTTGTCTCTGGCAGTCCCCTGGTGGCAAGATAGCACAGGGCTGTTTGGCTTCGGTTATCTCTGGGCAGGACTCCTCTGTGATAAACAGCTCCTCTGTGTGTGTGTATGTGGGGGGAAGGGGGCTGGAGGCAGTAGACCCTTCCTACCTCTGATGATCCCAATCCATAGGCCCTGTATAAAGAGCTTAGGTAGTATCCAAGAGAGTGTCTCAAGGTCTCACATGGTATTTGGTGGCATGGGGAGCATAGGGCAACTAGAACTCCAACCTCACACCACCTGAATTTAATGCAAGGTTAATGTGCACACCACTCACTGGGGTGGGGAGGGGAGGAGAAGATGGGGAGGAGGCAGATGGCACATTTCAAAGATGGCTTCTTCTGAGCCTCAAATGGGGCAGTAGCTCCTTCCCTTTCTCCAATTTGTTTTATTGTGTTTAAACATATCTAATGTAAAATTTACCATCTTAACTGTTTTTAAGTGTACAGTCCAGTGATATTAAGTCCATCCATAGTGTTGTGTAATCACTACCACCAACCATCTCCAGAGATTTTTTTTTTTGGAGAGGTTTTTCGCTATAGGGCGCGTGTGCTCGCCAGACAGACAGAGAGAGACAGAGAGACAGAAAGCGAGAAATCACCCCCAGGGGCGATGGCCATGCCGCAATCTCTTCTCCTTCATTCTCCTCTCGGGATCTTGGGCATGCATGCACCCAGCGTGAGTTTTTTAAGCCACCAGATCCAGGACGCGAACCGTGGTCGACTACGTGGGAGTCCAGTGACAGTCATTACGCTAACTGCTGGTCCCTGTTTATTTTTATGGTAGACATCCTAATGGATATGAGGTGGTATCTCACTGTTGTTTTGATTTGCATTTCCCTAATGACTATTGATGAACATCTTTCCATGTGCTTATTGTCTATTTGAATATCTTCCTTGGAGAAATGTCTATTCCAGTCCTTTGACAATTTTTGAATTTTTTTTTTTTGGTTGGTGAGTGTTAGTTCTTTATGTATTCTAGATATTAATCCTTTGACAGGTAATTCATAAATTTTTGCCCTATTCTGGGGGTTACCTTCTTTGATGTACAAATGTTCTAAATTTCATGAAGTCCAACTTGTCTCTTTTTACTTTTGTTGCCTGTGCCATATCCCAGAAATAACCCATTGTTAAATAACTCAATGGTGCTCATTAGTGTTTAGAAATGCAACCGATTTTTATGTGCTGACTTTGGATCTTGAATTTTGCTTAATTCATTTATTAGCTACTTTAAAAAGTATTTATTTGCCAGAGGATGTATGCACTTGCTAGAAAGAGACAGAGATGAGGAGAGGGGGACACCCCCCCACATTGGGATGTGGTCACATCACAGTCCCTTCTCCTCGATTTCTTCCTCCTACAAGTATTCTGGGCACAGATGCACATGTGCACAGCGTGTTTTTCCAGCTTCCAGGTCTGGGATTTGAATCCCATGGTCGTGTGGGATCCAATGCCATTAACTACTAGATCATGGGACTGGCACCATGTATTAGTTCTAACAGTTTGGATGCGTGCATGGAATCTTTAGGATTTTCTACATATAAAATGATATAATCTGCAAATAGAGACAGTTCTATTTCTCTTTCTAATTTGTATGCCTCATATTTCTTTCTCTTACCTAACTTCTGCCTGAAACTTCTACAACCATGTTGAACAGAAAATGCAAAAGTGAGCATCTTTGCCTTGTTCCTAATCTTCCAAGAAGAGCTTCCAGTCTCTCATCATTGATTATGATATTTGCTGTAGACTTGATCTCAAGTCTTTACTATGTTGAGGTAGTTTTCTTCTATTACTAGTTTGCTCAGTGTTTTTATCATGAAAGGGTGTTGAATTTTATTGACTTTTTTTTTTTTTAGCATCAATTGAGATGATCAGGTGGCTTTCTTCTTCATCCTGTTAATATGGGGGTATCGCACCAATTGATTTTTGTATGTTTAACCATCCTTGTACCCCATGAATAAATCCACTTGGTTAGGATGTCTATTTTTTTTTTTAAAAATATGCAGCTGAGTTTGGTTTGCTAGTATTGTTCTGGGAATTTTTGCATCAGTGTTCATAAGGGATAATGGTCTGTAGCTTTCTTTCCTTATACTATCTTTGGCTTTGGTAATCAGGGAATAAATCCCACTTGGTTAGGATGTCTATTTTTTAAAAAAAATATGCAGCTGAGTTTGGTTTGCTAGTATTGTACTGGGAATTTTTGCATCAGTGTTCATAAGGGATAATGGTCTGTAGCTTTCTTTCCTTATACTATCTTTGGCTTTGGTAATCAGGGTAACTCTGACCTCAAAATGAATTTGAAAGTGTTTTGCCTCCTCCATTTTTAAGAAAAGTTTGAGAAGCCTTTGGCGTTAGTTTTCTCTAAATGTTTGGTGAATTCATCAGTGAAGCCATCAGATGAGGGAATTTTCTTTGTTGAAAGATTTTTGATGAACAACTCAGTTTCCTTGTAGATCTATTCAGATTTCCTATTTCATAATGATTTAATCTTATTAGGTTTTCTTTTTTTTAGAGGTTTTGCTATAGGTTGTGTGTGCTCGCCAGAAAGACACACAGGGCGGGGGAGAGAGAGAGAGAGAGAGAGAGAGAGGGCGAGAGAAAGCGAGAAATCACCCCTCAGGGGGGATGGCCATGCTGCAATCCCTTCTCCTCCATTCTCCTCTCGGGATCTTGGGCATACATGCACACACCTGGCGTGAGTTTAAGTCACCAGGTCCAGGACTCGAACTATGGTTGGGTACATGGGAGTCCAGCGACATAGCCATTAACGACAACTGCTGGTCTCAGTCTTGTTAGGTTTTATATGTCTATGAATTTGTCCATTCACTTAGGTTATTTAGTTTGCTGGTGTACAATTGTTGGTATTACTCTTATATTTCTTTTTATTGTGATAGAATTGATAGTAATGTCCCCACTTCCATTTCTAGTTTTAGTAAACTGAGTCTTCTCTCTTTTTGCTTTTAGTCCATCTAGCTAAAAGGTTTGCCAGTTTTTATCTTTCCCAGGAACCAACTTTTGGCTTTGCTGATTTTCTCTACTGTTTCTCTAGTCTCCATTTTGTTGATCTCTGCTCTAATCTTTATTATTTTTTTCTTTTAGCTAGTTTTGGGTTTAGTTTGTTCCTTTTTAGTTCTCAAGTTAGGTTGATTTAAGGTTTATTTTTTAAGAGAAATTTTTGTTATAGGGTGCATGCACTCACCAGAGAATCAGAGACAGAAAGTGAGAAATCATCGCCTAGGGGGTTGGCCATGCCATAGTCCCTTATCCGCCATTATCCTCTCAGGATTTTGGGCATGCACACACATGTGCCCAGCGTGGAGTTTTAAGCCGCTGGGTCAGGGACTTGAACTGTGGTCTACTACGTGGGAATCCAGCAACATAACCATTACACCGTCTGCGGTCCCTCTTGTTTTTAATATAAGCATTTATAGCTATAAACTTCCTCCTTAGCGCTGCCTTTGTTTGTCTTGTAAGTTTTGGTGCGTGTGCCTTCATTTTCACTTATCTCTAAGTATTTTCTAATTTCTTTTGTGATTTTACAAAGGAGGAATCTGAGGCGAAAAGAGACAGCTGCAGTGATTTGGCTGAAGTTGTCTAGCTGATCTGAACCTACTATTTCGGGCTCCAGTGCTTAGGGGAGCAGGCAGGTGAGGACACTGATCTAGTTGGGTCCCTTGGGGTCAGGCTGTATTGCGTACACTATAATTGCAAACAAGGAAAGCCCATAAGAAACAAAACAGAAACAATCTCCCAGAACACAGGTCTCACTCACATGAATGGGATCTCTCTGTCAACCTGGCTCCCCAGTCTTTTATTTGGAATTGGGGAAGCTTCTGTAGAAGAAATCTTAAATGTATAGATATCTAAATTAAAAAGTGGATAAATTAAGTTCAAGCCAGAGTTCCAGGGGCTCCACTGCTGCCCCCATTGGTAGACATAAGCAACTGATGCCAGCACTTGTCCCTTCTGCATATGTCCTAGTAATGCAGGGGCCTAAGTAGCCCCCACCAGTGCAGCCAAGGGGGCACCTCCTGGTCAACACTCCCACAGAAGGACAGCTGTACACACTGAGGAATTATTTTAAGCTAGGATAGCCTCGCAGGACCTCTAAGGGTATGCACATCTACCATGCAGACTGGGGTTAACATAGGGACTCCCAGAAACTGTGTTTGTGGAGATGAGGATCCTTCAGCCAGCTGTGCCCGTGGAACGAGAACACTGCGGACTGAAGGGTGGCTCACTGTTAGGATGACTAGCTCTGCTCCCTTGGCTCAGGGTAGAGAGGAAGGCTGGGCCAGAGATGCCCTTCAACCCCACTTGCCCAGTCGCTGGTGGGAGAAGTGGAGCCCACACCTGCTGCTGGTCCAGGGTCAGGTGCAAGAGCGCCCGCCCACACAGTGCCTGCACGTTCCCTGGCTCGGCGCGTAGCACGGAATTGAAGTCGAACATGGCGGTCTTCTTCTGGCCCAGGAACCCATAGCAGCGGGCTCGGATGAGGAGGGACTCGCTTGCCTGACTCCCTGGAGGAGGGGGTGGTGTCAGGATGTGACCGCAGCTGGGTCCCTCACGCAGCATCCCTCTTGGTGACCAAGCTGGGGCAGGCAGAGGGTGTACCAGCTGTGGGGCTCACCTTGGGGAACTTATGTACTGCTGGGCACCAAAACACAGAGGCAGCCACGGCTGACCTGTGGGCACAGGTCACAGACCAAGAGGAATCTGGCCAAGATGGCTGGTGTCTGGGAGGGATGGTGCACACTGTGGGGTGTGGGGGCGTCTGAGAGGAAGGAGTGCCATGGCTGCATCTGAGGTGAGGCCAGGTGAAGGATGAGGGGGGAAAATGCCCCGAGGGCAGGGCATGTAATGGCGGCAAGCAGGAAGGTATGAGGTGTGAGGTATGAGGCTCAGGTGTGAGGCAGCCGGGCAGGAGCCCTCCCCACACTTGCCACCACCTTTTGGGTGTCTGTTCAGTGATGGGCATGCTCGGTTCTGCCCCACTGTGGGTGTGTCCCCTTCCTGTGCAGGACTCGCTCAGTCATGAGCTCACTTGGTTCCCCACTTCTACCCCAGGTGGGCTTCTCTATCACCCCCTTGGAGAAAAAGTGATGCAGTGCCCAGGGAGTACACAGCCCCAATCCGTCTGGTGGTCTGATCTGTGGTCTATACTTTCAAACTGCCTGCACCCCAGAAACTCACAGGGAGTCCTTGGGAGAGTCTGCTTCCCTCCAAGTTCCTCGTGCCTGCAGCATAGCACTAAGGACGCACAGGAAAGGGCCCAAGGCCAGAGGCTGACATGGGTATGGTGGGATAGCTTGCGAGCAGGGAGGCCAGATGCACATAGGAAAAGCCTCAGTTGCTATTTCTGGAGTGGATCTTGCCTCCCTCCCTTTAGAGGGACAGGGGCCGTGCTGGAAAAGGGCCTTCTATGTTCAGGTCTGAGGGTATAGGAACAGTAGCCCAGGAACCAGGGTTGGCGCACAGCTCAGCTCCTGGGTGGTCCAGACCTCCTTCAGCCCTGGTGTATTCCCTGGACGACCAGCACCGTGGTGGCCCTGCCCCACTCACCCCTTGGATGCTTTGGCACAGCACCTATGAAGCAAGATATCCTAAGACACCCCCCATAACCCTGGCCTCCCCAGCGTAAGGATCACCATGCCCCCTTCCCCATACCTGGCACAGGACTAAACTCTAGGGGCAGGTGGGTGGCTCCTACCTGCAGCGAAGATGGCCAGAGAGAGGTAGGCAATTGCCTCTCTGGTGTGGGTCTCACTGTCGTCCCCACCCGGCTGTGCCCGCAGGATGGTCATGGCTCGCTCGTGGCAATGGGCTCGCAGCAGCTGCCGGTCCTCATGGCGGAAGACGTCCAGGGTGGGCTGGAGGCAGGCCGTGTCCCCAGACTGGATCACCTTCTTCACCAGCTGCAGGGGCAGGAGAGTTGCTGCCACTGCCCTTCCCTCCAGCACTGCTGCCTGGGGGTTCCACCCTGTACCCCATGCCCTGGGCCATTCCACTCCCTTCTCCCAGGATGCCCCCCTCTAGGTTCTCCCTCCCTTTCCATGGGCTCAGGTGGCTTCAGTCTATTCTGGGCTCTAGTAGGTTTGCCATGTGTTACATCCACGATCATCTGAGATTTTCCCATAGACTGGGGAGGGGGCTCATGGAGGGCAGGGTCAGCGTGTCCCCAGCTTGGAGCACCAGAAAGGGCACGTAGGGGCGGGTGGGTGCCACTCTCCCAGCACCTCTCTCCGGGCTGCAGTTGGAGCCTGCTCCTTTCTGCTGTAGTTCGGGATGAGGGATGAGCCTCAGCTTCCACTGTCACGTGGAGGAAAAACTCCCTCTGCCCTTGCAGAGGTCTATCTGGGAAGTATGAGGAGAGGGCTTTCAAATCACAAAGTGACAGAGGGCTACAGGAAATCATTCAGAAGATGTGGAGCAGAAGCCCAGGACAAGCCAAGCAGGCTAGGACTCAAACTGGGTGGGACGAGGACCCCCTCCCCCGCCCCCACCTCAGGTCTCCAACATAATCAGCCTCTGGCCTTGACTCTGTCCTAAGGAGACCCTATGCTGCCCCCTGCTGGCCACTGTTGTGTACAGTCCCTGAGTGGAGCGGAAGCATGGCAAGTTCCAGGGCACCCTTACTTCCACCCTCTCTTTCTGTGGCAAGAAAATCAGGAACCCAAAACAGGCCATAGGGGAAGGAAAAGGCTGACAGGTTCCTCAGCTTGGGTCCCAAAGCCTTCCGTCCCCTTGGAATATCACTCACTGACCCCTGTTCAAATAGGAAGCTTCCACAACACCTGAAGTAGGCAACTTTCTGCCTTTCCTGGGAACAGAGGGATCTTGGAGGCAGGCAGGTAGGGGTCAAGGACTCAGAGGCCCCTCTACTACCAGGCCCGGGGTAGGGAAATGGTTTATTGGGAGACTTGGAAAGAAGCTCAGTTTACATCGACTCTTGGCCCCTTTGCTTCAAAGTCACAGCAAAAGCAAATATAAAATTCCTACTGCCTGCATGAAACCTGCAGGGCCCTGGGCTACCTATTCCCGCTAATTTCCATGATAATCCGCAAGACCAGGGCAGAGATGAGTTGAGGAAATGAGGTTTGCTTGCTTCAAAGCCCAGACTGGGGCCAGCCAAATGGTGTGGTGGTTAGGGGGCTGGATCCCACATGGCTGACTAAATAGTTCAAGTCCTGGACCTGGTGGTTTGGAAAACATGCTGGATGTGTGTGTGTACACATGCCCCAGATCCCAAGAGAATGGGGAAAGGACTGTGTTGGGAGTGCTCTCTCACTTTCTCTTTCTTTCTGGCAAGCACACATGCCCTCTAGCACATTAATAACAACAATAAAAAGAAGTCCAAGCTATAAAGTGCAAAGTGAGGGCTGTGAGAAGCCTAGTCTCCTCCACGGAGCTGTGCCCTGTTTTCACCTGCCCTGTGGCAACCCACCTGGGTCTCCTCACCTGGTTGGCATCATAGAAAAAACCCCTCCTGAGCTGCAGCAGAGCCAGCCTCGCCAGTACAGGGGCAGCCTGGGGTCTCCAAGAAAGGGCCACGAGCAGGGCCTTGTGGGCTTCATCCAGGCGCCCCAGGCGGTACAGGGCATCAGTTGCCAGGAGGCGTGAGGCCTCATCTTCCACGTCCAGCTCCATCAGCAGTGTGGCCAGCTGGTACACACCATGGGCATCCCTGTGGAGAGAGGCTCAGGGTGAGCCGGTCCATTCCATCTACCCTTTTCAGCTGCCCAGGGGGTCAGGCCACAGTAAATCCTGACTGTGCACCTGGCCAGGGCAGGTCCCCTCCCTCAGACTGAAGAGCACTGTGTCCCTCTGGAAGGACCCTCATAAGAGGTCAACTCCAGAACCTTCCCAATGTGCAGCCATTGGCTCTCACCCCTGCAGTCAATCTTCCCACCATCCTGTAGAGTGGCATTTTACAGTGGCAGAATGGAGGCCCTGCAGGGCTGACCAGGAGCAGACCCTGCCTCAGTTTCCTTTTCTGCAACATAGCTCAACCATATGGCCTTGCTGGGCTCACAGGTGTATTGTTTGTAGGCAGGACAAGATAACACACTGGTCACACTGGGAATATTCCCAATGTCCGTGCAGGTGCAGGAATGTTGGGAATGTTAATTAGCTCCCACTGGGAAAAGGGCTCAGAGCCTCCCAGAGAGAACAAATATAAAAGTACCCAAATTATATAAATGAAAGTTCTCTCATTAGCAAATCAAAGCAATGCAAATTGTTGAGGAAGAAGAGGTGTGTGTGTGTGTGTGTGTGTGTGTGTGTGTGTGTGAGTGTGTGTGGCTGACATCAAAGTTACACCCCAGGAACCCCCAGCTCCCAGTCTCAGTGTTCTTAACTTGCTAAGGCACCTTCCTGCCCCTTCCCAGGAATCAGAGACGTGCACATCAAAGCAGCTCTCCAGCTGAGTCACACATTGGGGTAGCAAAGAATATGCAAAATAGCACCAGGACTGGGGGTGGGGGGCAGCGGCAGCAGCTCCTAAAGTCAAGGTTCTGCAGATGGAGGTGCTTCCTGACTCAGGAACTCCATGTTTGTCTCCATCTTGAAAACAAAACATCATGGAGATGGGCTATGATCCATGGATATGATCCATAACGCATTATAACTAAGCAGAAAAGGCCGAGAGTACGTGGGAATCATGGCACACGCACAGGATGGGGCATTGTGTGGCCTCAGAACACTTGGCGGTAAAGGCAGTTTTCATGATCCCACGAATAATAGTAACTATAAAAGGATACACAGGCAATACACAGCATGAACGCAGTGTTGTGACAGATATATGCACACTCACACAAAGCGACTGGCAGGAAGTGTCAACAGTGGGCTAATCGGCGAATTTTCACTTTTGTTTCCATTTTTGAGTCACTCATTTTCTATGGAAAGAAAGCCCATAATGCACTCTGCTGTGTGTGATGGAAAAGTCTTAAGATCTAAGTTCTGGAGCTAATCTTCCACCACTGAAACTTAAGGAAATCACTCTTCCTCAGTTTATTCAACTGTAAAATAGGAAGAAATGGGCCAGCATGTGGCCTAGTGGTTAAAGCATTAGATTCCCACATGGCTGACCACAGTTTGAGTCCCAGACCTGGCAGCTTGAGGGTCACGCCCTGTGGGTGTGCCTGCCCAGAGTCCCAAGAGGAGCATGAAGAAGGGACTGCAGCATAACCATCTCTCCTGAGGGGTGCTCTCTCTCTTTCTCTCTTTTTCAGGTGAGCAGGCCCTATGGCACAAACCTAGGGGGAAAGAAAACAAAAGGAAGAAGTAAATCCCTCTCCACCTTAGGGAGACCAGAACAAAACAGCAGCAGCCCTGGCGTCCATGGAGCTGGTTCTTACCCTTCCTGCTCAGCGGCGTTGTCAGTCAGCGAAGCTTTACTCTGGCGGCCCAGCGCGCGCACAGGCCCAGGGTCTGACCTGCGGTGCAGCATCCTGCGGCCCTCCTCCCGCAGCACAGTCAGTAGCAGCCCCCGCTGGTTCCAAGGCACGTAAGCCTTGGCGGCCAGCAGCGCCTCCTCCCGGCGCAGCCGGCACGCGGTGACATAGTCCAGAGTGCCCAGGAATGTGCTGCCGGCCAGCACCCGCAGCAGCCCACGGCCGCAGAGCGCTCGTACGCAGCCGCCTGGGTGCGGTGCTTGCTGCTCCATTACCTCCTGGAAATCCTGCCGGGCGCACCGTCTGTCGCCTGTGTGCAGCGCGCAGAAGCCGCGCAAAGCCAGCAGGTGCGCGCGGTCCCCAGCGTGGTCACTAGCACGGTCCCTGGCGCGCGGGGGCCGCAGCAGACGTTCGCAAAGCGCTCGGGCGTTCGCTACGTCCCCGGCCAGCAGTAGACACTCGGCTAGGCGGGCTCCCAGCACAGGTCGCGCCCCGGAGGGCGCCAAGCGAAGCAGGATGCGGAGAGCGCGGGTAACTGGGACCAGCAGCTCGCGGCCCCGGTCCTCGCGTAGCTCGAGGCGGCTCCGCACAGTCTCCTGGAAGCGGGCGAAGCCCACGTCCGCCACCTCTTGGGCCTGGGCCCGGATGCGCTCTTGGTCTCCGGCCGAGAGTATAGCCTGGAACTGCTTCCGCGCTCCGGAGGGGCTTTCGCCGAAGGCCTCATGTAAGTCTTGGAGCATGTCCTGGGCGCGGCCGTCCAGTAAGAAAGCCGCGGCCGCTCGAGTGACCAGCAGGGCGGCCAGGCGCTCACCTGCTGAGAGAAACAGAGGCATTGTCCTGCCTGGTGGGCCATTCTGCCCGGATCGCCGTCCCCAACCCTCACCCTGTCCAGCACCTTAGACCCTCTGAAATACTTCCGACTGGACCATGTTCCTCCCAGCGCCAGGGGCGTGGGCACCACCAGGACAGGGCCAGCCCGTCCCAAAGCCCATTAGTGACAGCGGGGTTAGAACCAGGCTGGACCACCAGAGGTGGACAGCTGCCAGGCATCCCTCCACAGCCCCGTTCTTTCATCTTGATTAAAAGTCAGTCTTACTTTTCAGCACAACAGAAATTTAGTCACACTTCTCCCCCTCCCCCAACATTTTAACGATGGATTTAGGATTTAGTTTCCTCTTTGGGGAATCAGCTCTAAGCCAGAGCTGAGGTTCTGACTCTGTGACCTTTTGCCAGGACCATTTGTTTCTGGAATGTCTTTGTTTTTCGCTGTCTATGGACTGGTCGGGACCCAGTGCTCGGTCCCCAATACTCAGTCTTTAAAACAGATTTACCCAGTCAGGTCTAGGAGAGGCCTGAGTGTAACTGAGTGGGTGCACCCGGTGCGGCGCTTTACTGAATCTCACATGTCTGTTTCCCTTTCTGTATTATAATGAGGATTGTAATGGTCTATATTTACAGGGCTGATAGGATGAAATGGATTAGCATACATCCAGAACCCGGAACAAGGTTCTCATGCATGTGGCTTGTGACTCAGTGAGGCTTAGCAATGGCAATGGCATCACCTCCAGGGACCTCATATTTTATGTCTGTGCAACTTAAGCGCACTTACTGTGAATGGGGCTTTCTGACTGGAAAAGAAATTTTAGTTGACCCATCCCGTAAAGGGACCTAGGCAGGATGCGCACCATCCAGAGAGTCAGAACACTCGGTCCTGGGAGGAGCCTAAGATCATGAGCCCCCATCACCATTTTACAGGTTAGAAAAGTGCTGCCAAGGATTGATTGGTATACAAGAAAGAGAGAGAGAGACACAGAGAGACACAGTGAGAGAGAGAAAGAGGAAGTGAGAGAGCTTCCCCCCCCCAGAGGGGATGGTCATGCCACAATCCCATTATCTTCTCAAGATTTTGGGCATGCACACACAGAGAGAAAAAGAGGAAGTGAGAGAGCTTCCCCCCCCAGAGGGGATGGTCATGCCACAATCCCATTATCTTCTCAAGATTTTGGGCATGCACACACATATACTCAGAGTATGTTTCAGGCCACCATGGGACTCGAACTGTACAGTCAGCCACGTAGGATCCAGCTGCTTTAACCACCATGCTACCACCTGACCCTCTAGTCTTTCTTAAAGATTGCTGGTTTTTCTTCTTTTTTTCTTTTTAAATTTTTACCAAAGGTTGCATTTGCTTTCCAGAGAGAGACAGAGACAAAGAGAGAAGGAAAGGGAAAAAGCACTCCCCAGTGGGGTATGGTCATGCTGCAATCCCTTCTCCTACGTTTCTCTAACCTTTCAGGATCTTGGGCACACTCGCACACATGCCCTGAGTGTTTTTCAAGCTGACAAGTCTGGGTTTTTGAACTGTGCAGTTGGTCATGTGGGATCTGGCTTCTTTAACCATGGGACTGATACATTGACACTTCCACTGTCTTCAATGATCTCTCTCTATATTTAGACAGATATACATCTGTTTATACATTTATCGTCTGTGTATCCATTTCAGTTATTACACGACTTAAGTCGAGAATTTCCATTTGGTTGTTTTGAATAGTTTCCATTTCTCTACTGAGATTCTACCTCTGTTCATTCATTATGCCTGTGTTTTCCTCTAGTCCTTAGTTCTCTAACTCCAGCATCCAGATTATCTTGAGGTCAGTTTCTAATGACTTCTTTTTCTCCTGATGGCAGCTTACATCTTATTATTCTGATTCTTTGCATGTCTAGTCATTTTTAAAAATCGTACACTAGGCCTCTTGTTGATGTTTTGTGGAGACTAGATTCAGGTATGTTCCTCTGAAGAGAGCTGAATTTAAAAAATTTAAAATTTAAAATTTGAAATTTGAAATTCAGTTAAGTTGGCTGAATTTAAATTCCAAATGATGTCTTTTCTTTGGTGGGCAGACTTGAAGCCTCTGTTTCTTGTAACTTCCAGTGGCTTATTTTTCAAGTCACCTAGTTTTTCCCAAACATATAGAGTTTGGTTATTAGCCAAGGATTTTACACACACACACACACACACACACACACACATACATATGTATATATAAAGTCTTGCCATAAGGCATGTGTGGTTGCCAGGAAGAGAGAGTGAGAAGGAAAGTGAAAAATCACTCCTTAGGCGGAATGGCTATGCTGTAAAGTCTTATCCTCCATTCTCTCAGGATTTTGGACATGCACACAATTGTGCCCAGTGTGATTTTTATACCACCAGGTCCAGGACTTGAACTACATTCGCCCTTGTGGGAGTCCAGTGCCTTAACCACTGAGCCACCTGCTGGTCCCCAGTAATATGACTTTATGCAGATTCTTCGTCTCACCCCCATTGTGGCTCCTTTCTTTTCAGGAGTTTCCTTCTAACATTTCATCTATTTTGTTCAGCTCTGAACTTTGTCCTCAGGCCAGTAAAACTGCAGCATTCTGTTAAACTAGGACACAGACCGAGGAGTTCCCTTAGGCAAAAAGCTGCAAGTATGCAAATCTCACTTGACATGATCCCCGTCTTTTAACAGTCAACATCCAGTTTTTGCCTGTATGTAGTTACTGTCCAGTGCCTTCAAATACTTGCTTTTCATATTTTTGTCCAAATTTTGTAATTGTTATCTGTGGAACATGGTGTCCAGTTGAGCTATACCACCATTACTGGAAGATGGATTTAAATGTTTTATAATCTAGAGGGACATAAAATGCTATGCCATTATTCATTTTCATTTTTCTGATTATTAGTGAGGTTCATTTATTAAGAAAGATCTGGTGGGTAGAAGTGGTTCTTTTTCGTTTTAATTTGCATTCCTCTCATTACTATGATATTGAACATTTTTCACATTATATTAGCCATCTGTGTTTTCTCTTTTGGGAAATGATTTTGCCAATTCTTGAACTGAATTTTTTTTCTTATTGATATGTAGGAATACTTCAAATCCCTTGCACACTAAGCTTTTGCCTGTGGTTTATTTTGCAAATATTTCCTCTGTGTTTGTAAATCGTCCTTTAAGTTTCTATAGTTATGGACAAAATAAAAGTTTAAAAATTTTAATGTAATCAAGTATATCAAATTTTTCTGTTGTTTTGACTTTTGTATCTTACAATTCAACTGTAAAAACAAGTCTAAATGATGTTCTCTTCTTTTTTTTTGAAACTGAGATTTAGCTGTTTACATAATCCACTTAGAATTTACTTTCTTGCATGTTAGTAGGTAGGAAATGATACCATCCATGGGC